TTTGGCCGCTTTATTAAGGAAATTGGAACAGGGGGGATTTTTTGATCCCCCCCCCCCAGTGCCGGCATTCCGGGAGAACCAACTGAAGTTCTGCAAATATTTGACAATTCTAATGGAAACTTTCTAATACACAAACGTAGCAGGATGTAGCCGGGGTGGGGTTTTATGACGTCACATGGCAACTTCTGCTTAAGCCCACCATACGTTAGTAGATCTAAAAGGAGATTCTACAATCCTAACAGCTATGTAGTGCCCGATTGGATGCAGATTGAACGGATTGTTTAGGTTGGTCCTCATATTATATAGTTTTTAGTAAATCTATAGTTGATTGCACAAAGATTGGAACATTGTGACCTTTATAGACAGAATTCTTAAATTGATCTCATTCCATGATATTTTTTGCAATGCCTTCTTGTGAGAAAGACTTGAAGTCCAAAAGAAAAACGCATTTGCTGAATGCTCCAGTTCTCATACTGAACAGCATCTGAAGTCAAGAATAATTCTGTAGCCAATTTGAGGCGGCTATAGTATTATGAAAAATAGAGAAGCTTTTTTAAAATTCCAATAAAAGATGGCAGTATGACCAGGGCCAGATTTACTCTGCTGCCCCAAGGCCAGATCCCTCAATGCACCCCCTACCTGATAACTTTCCCCCCCCCCCATGGAGAATGGCAGACCTTCAGGCTGCATACAAGTGATCTCGGCGACATTGCCAGGATCACTTGTACAAAACAAGCAGCGGCTTCCCCGCTGTACATTGAGCTCTGCTTGCCCAAAGCCGGGCTAAAATGTAAAAGACAACTACCCGCCCAGCGCCCGAAACTGCATGTCCCGGGCATTGGGAGATAGGAATTCCACACCCCTGCTGCCCCTCGGCCAGGCCTTGTGGAAAATCCGGCCCCGAGTATGACCATTTGCATATCGGAGTGATGCAACACGTCACTTCCGGTGTGATAGTAATGTCAGAAGTGTGAGTAAATACCTCCAAAGAGCAGGAAATACCTGGTGGCCACCAGAACTGATGTCCCAATTGAAAGATTCTCATCTATTTCCTTTTTATTGTGGTTTATTTGTCCTGGTGACGGTTAGAGAACATTTGAGGGTGAATGTCGCCCAAAGGGGCACAGTCCGCAATAAAAACCTGACGGGTGTCCTAATCCCTCTCCACTATCCAGTATTAGAAGAGCAGTTCTCCAATCCTATTCATAAAATGAGAAGATGGTTGTGTAGGATGCGAGCTTTAATTTGAAAGGATAAAAATGATTGAAGGAAAAACACAAGAGGCTGCAGTACTGTTGACTTTATTTTCAGATGTTTACACAAGTTAGAGTTTTTGTTTTTCAACTGAAATCAGGGTAACATTGCACAGAGAGCGAATGCAGCGTACGGGTGCAGCAAAAGTGATCCAGCATCATCGAACAAGTTCAGCATTTTCATTTCAGGGTACGACAAGATCTTGTTAGCAGCTTCTGCACGGGGGAGAAATAAAATTGGGTTAAAACTACCAAGTGATATGCATCCCTACTGGTAATACAAGCCGGTTTATAAAAGTGAAGGAAGAACAGGACCACTCAATAGGCTTTTTTATACACTGAGTGGCCAGATTATTATGACCACCCCATCAGTACTTTGTTGGGCCACGAGATGGTGAAAGGTGATGCGAGGAATCTGACACGGCACTGTTGCCCTTCTGTTGTCTTGTACCAGTCTTGCCACTCTCCGTTCTGCCCTAACATTGACTAGTCGCTGACGCCCACAATTTGCACGTTCAGACCCAGATTTTCGGCTGACAGTCCGGTCTTTAAACACTTTAACAGCTGCTCTTGAACATTTAACGAATTCTGCTGTTTTGCTGATACTCGCTCCATGGCTCCGAGCACCAACAATCATCCCACGTTCAAAGGCTGTTAAATCGTGTTGTTTCCCCGTATCTTCAGAAACAAATCACTTCTACTGTCGTGGTAAACAACCTGCTTCCCTATTTATACTGGTCTGGCCCTCTAGCAACTTCAGCGCCAAATTATAGCTAATTTGCCTACAAACGTCAGGTGGTCATAATAATCTGGCCACTCAGTGTATATATACTAACCATTAAGTCTGTTAGACACTTTTAGCAAAGCCTTGGTACGGGGCACCCACTGAACTCAAGTTCAACCCAACCACCATTTTTTTTTTTTTTATAGTAAATGAAGTGTCCTAGTTACAAATATAACAGATGCCATTGCCCACTTGAATGTGCATGGTTTGGGGAGGTCGAACAAGCATGAGCACTGCATGTGTCATGGTTTGGGGAGGTCGAACAAGCATGAGCACTGCATGTGTCAAACACTCGATCTGCAATTAGTAGAAAGTAGCTCACACTCCTGGTTGATTCTCAGTCAATCTTCTTTATTGACCATGATTGTGTCACATTGTAAAGCGACGTTTCGGAACCTTGTGGTCCCTTCTTCAGGCACCCAAAGAGTGATCACCCACAAAACAAGTGCAGATGCCTGATCTGCACATATACATCCCAGGGTCAATAGCGCATGTAGTAAAAGATTGTTAAAGTGACTGTCAGTTAAAAAACAAATAAAACTGATCAAGGGTATAAAAAAGTGCAAACGGCTAGAGGTGCCTGAACATATCTGCAGCTGCTTTCATTGTCACATTCTGCCCAAATGCCAGGCCTTTCTCATCAGGCAAAACACCGGCACTTCCTGGTAGTGCCAAAGCTTGCCTGCTCACACCCACTCCCACATTTGTATTGGCCTACCACTACTACCTCACTGGCCAATAGGATGTAAAGTTACCTCTACATGCCTGCACTTTATATCCGTCAGATTTTATTTTTGGCTCTTACAGTAGGAAAAGCACTTTAAGAACTGCCCTAGAGACAACCCATTTCAAAGTCAAACTGTGTTCAGGCGTTTCCAGTGGAGGGTATGGTTCCAAAGATGTTTTAGACAATTTCATGCTTGTGGGAACAGTTTGGGAAAGAGTCTTTTCTGTTCCAGCATGACTGTGCCCTTGTGCATAAAGCCACCTCCATAAAGACATGGTTTGACTAGTTTGATGTGGTGCAACATGTGTGGCTTCCAGAGCCCTGACCTCGTTCCTTATGGAGACCTTTGGGATGAATTAGAACACCGATAAGAAAATCTTGCTCACAATCCAACAATACCCGACCTCAGACATGCTCTTTTGGCTAAATAGGCACATATTCCCCACAGACGCACACCAAAATCCTGTGGCAAGCACATTCTAGTTCCTTACAATGTTCTCATAAGATAAACCGCATAGGAGGTGGATTAGAGAATGCCCTATTGTAGTTGGACAAACATCCAAGAGAAAAATTCTCACCTTGTTTCCTGGTAATAATGTCGGAGTGATAACCAGCATGAAATGCGACCATTCCCATTACAAAAATATAAAACAGCAAGACTTATAACCAAATGTCGAGAGATGAATAGTTTATAAGGCTGTATGCACCAAGCATCTCTTGAATCAGGCTCAGAAGCAAAGACCATTTTGCATTGTTCATTTAAACCCATTTCAGGTCTTGTAAATTCTTTGAAGCAATGCATTGTGGGATATGATTAGCAAAGGTTATGTTTGGACCACAGCCAATGCCATGTTACAAAAACACACTGGCATCCTTACTAGTGAGCAAGCCAATTCTTTTTTCCCTCTCAAGTCTTATGACTTCCACACACCGTTATAATATCTACTGTATATAATAAGTAGAAGGGGTCCTATAATAGGTTGATTCAACACTCCTGAAACATGAGACATTCAGGCAAATCCAACTATAGAGAATACTCATTAAACCCAAACTCTGAGCCAATTGGTTCTATAGTATTGTATGCGATGGCATGAAGAAGTATGACCAAAGAGTTTTCTCTTTTGTCTAATAACTCATATTGAATTGAGTCTCCCTTTGCCCAATTGAATTGTGTCTCCATTTACTCAAATACACTGAAATGTGTTACCCCTTTACTCAACTATTCCTATGAATTTTGTCCCCCTTTCCCTAATACCACATACTGAATTGTGTCCCCCTTTACCCTAAATACAATCTTTCGTCACTGGAATAAGAGTCGAGGGGGAAACTTCCAATGGGGATAATGGAAATGATCCTCGCTTTGTAGAGATGTTATATCTCTTCCTGCCAGCCCCTCCTACCAGCTGTGATCTACTACATTGCATAGACATCACTGGGTCTATAATAAGATATAGAATGAGCGTATGAAGGTTTTATTTCAAAACAAAAACTTTCATTAGCTTCTTTGGTCTAAGGGGGACAGGAATTAAAAAGGTTAAGCTTCAGGTTTAAAAAAAGTGTGAAACAAGGTCTGTAAATCATATGACCTGGCTAGTCAGGACGATTACCGTCTCTTACGTCATCTTACTGGACAGAGCAGATGATGCCGATCTATTTGTCCAATGAGCTAGGCAAGAGGCAACATGGGAAGCAAAATACCAGAAGACACACGTCACACTATGTCACCTGTCTGGCTGTGTATTCTTGCCAAATCAGTATGAACCCCAAAAACATGTTGGCTGCGTCTATGCTGTCCGCTGAACCCTGAATGTAATTAAGACTTATCTGAACTATTTAACAAATCATGGTGCTTCAATTTACACCACAAAACTAGGATGGCAAAGGAGATCCCCTGGGATGTAGAGGTTGCCTGTCCTAGGTCAGATCACCTGTAATGACTTTCACATCCTAATTGGCCAGCCACACCAAGAGGACAAAGCTTGGAGGGCCCAGTGCTTTTTTTTTATTCCCCTCATTTCCAGAATTACTTCGGAGATGCTCTGACATCAAGCTTAGTGGAGATTTTGAACAGATAGTGTGGTAGCTCTCTACTGCATGGTGGAGCCCCTACAAGGTCATTACAATGGTAGCTCTACTGTAAGGGTGGTTCAGTATTCATTAAAAAAAAAAAAAGAGACAACACGGGTGCATATTGAGGATAAATGGGCAAGTGTGCTTTGGGTGGTGTTAATGTGTGAAAAATGTGCTCATGCCCATAGTTGTTAGCCTTTGTGTGCACACGTACTGGTGGGCTCAATGGTGCCAGTCTGCCTATTTAAACCAGCATGGACTAAGCCATTGCTAACTTGTCTTCAACTCATTCCGGTTTCCCTGCGACCCAACCTGCGACTTGATTCCCAAAGAAGACTCCCCTGGCTTGGGATCTTGATGCCACTTCTGTTTCTCAGTGTCTGACCTTGTGAACTTGCCAGGTAGCGACCCTGATCTGGTTATCATTTGGTACCGTTTCGTCTGGCTGTCAACCTAGGCATGTGTTTCTTATTCTGCTTCCGCTACCTATTCCAGTATTCTGCTACATTCAATATACCATCTAAACCTGCTATAACCAGTCACACATGGGCATCTGTACAGACTTAGTCTGACCTGCATTCTAGGCACTTGTGCGTGCCTGGGTCATCACTTTTTTTTTTGGAGACTTTCACAAGGTGTGCAAGTGTAGCCTTCCACAGCTCAACTGTCTCTAGGCAGTACGTGACATCTACTCCCTGGTGGAGCCTCTACAAGATCCCTGGGAGAGTTCAGCTTATGTGGAGTGAGGATAAGAGCACCATATGTTCTGACCGGTCCAGATATTTTCTCATATTAAAAACGGACTATAAAGAGTTAACCACCAACATGTTTCAAGGGTTAAATATGAATCCCTCTTCATTAGGGTTTAAGATTGATCATGCATGAGAACTCTGGATGGTAATCCTCAGTTTTTAATGCTTAGCAAATCATCATTTTATTCCACATGGCTGTGCAGTGTGGCAGAGATAAAAAAATCAGAAGACTTCCTGACTGGAATTACAAATCCTTTAGCAGACACAGTAACATCATGAATATGGATTTGAACGACATCTAACCTTTACCTGGAATTCCATGTTTTTTACCAAGTTAAGTCAAATGGAATGCTTTCCAGTCAAACTGCAGCACGAGTTTCTGAGCCGAAACCAGAGCTAGTCTCACTCCCGGTTTTGATGGGGCTTACCTTGTTGATAGTAGTCATAAGCTACAGCAGAGCTTTTCTTCACGTTCAGCACCCTCTCACCCATTAATACTCTGAATGTAAAAGAGATCGGCTCTTTATTAGTCATGAACCTTTATGACCGAGCCAGACCCCTCCTACACCTTTGACAAGTCTCTGCCCAATGGAGGCTTAGTCCCAAATTTTCATCACAGCAGGCTGAGTCTCCTCCCCCATGAGTGCGCCCTTGGGGATGGTCATTTAGGTCCAGTGTGAAAGAGGAGGTGGGTCCTGAGCGCGGGAGGGTCCCTTCTTCCATTGGGTACTAGTGCCTGGACAGCTAAGCCCCTATTGGAGAGGTGCAATACAATCTCCAGCTTGTGACTGCCATGCGACCCTTAGTGGGAAGACTAGCAAATATATATACCCCAATCCAGACTAACCTCAGACAATAAGCATTAGCTCTGATGAAGGGGGGATACTCCGCTTTCTTGTTTGACTATTGAATGCCATCATTGCTCATCCAAATTGTTAGTACTTTGTATGATTTTCTTACACACAAAC